GAGGAGGAGTAGAAGGATAACAGGAGGAGGAGGAGGACTATCAACTTCGTCGGTTTCAAAACAAAGATGTGAAAGTGAGGGAGAAGGCAGGGAGAGAGGGAGAGAGCTGGAGAGAGAGAGAGAGAGAGAGAGAGCAGATCACAACAGAGCAGGGCAGAGCAGAGAGAGCGAGAGAAAGAGAGCGACAGAGCTAGAGAGCTAGATAGCTAGACGACTTGAGAGCTGGAGAGCTGGAGAGTTACAGAGCTAGAAGGCTAGAGAGTTGAGAGATCTAGAATCTAGAGAGGGAGAGGGCGAGAGAGAGAGAGAGACAAAGAGGTGAGAATGAGGAGGAGGAGGAGGAGGAGGAGGAGGAGGAGGAGGAGGAGGATCCGGGAGAAAGGGAGGATGGAGGAGGGAGGACAGCGGAGGAGGGGAAGGACAAAGGAAGAGAGTATGAGACGGGAAGAGGAGGAAGAGGAGATAATGATGGAAAGGACGAAGAATACGGGAAGCGAAGGGGACGATGGGGAGGAAGAGGAGAGAAGGCTGGGGATGAGAATGGAGGAGGCCCAGGAAGCAGCAAGAAGAATGATGACGGCGCTATCCCCACCCCCCCAGGTCCACCCACCAAAGGGCGCTCCTCCAGCAGGTCGCACGCCCGTACTCCCTGAGCGCGCTCAAGGGGGGAGGGGGGGCCTCCACCTCCACCTCCTCCTCCTCCTCCTCCTCCTCCTCCTCCTCCTCCTCCTCCTCCTCCTCCTCCTCCCTCCTCCTCCTCCTCCCCTCCTCCTCCTCCTCCTCCTCCTCCTCCTCCTCCCTCCTCCTCCTCCTCCTCCTCCTCCCTCCTCCTCCTCCTCCTCCTCCTCCTCCTCCTCCTCCTCCTCCTCCTCCTCCTCCTCCTCCTCCCTCCTCCCTCCCTCCCTCCCTCCCTCCTCCCCTCCCTCCCTCCCTCCCTCCCTCCCTCCTCCCTCCCTCCCTCCCTCCCTCCTCCTCCTCCTCCTCCTCCTCCTCCTCCTCCTCCTCCTCCTCCTCCTCCTCCTCCTCCTCCTCCTCCTCCTCCTCCTCCTCCTCCTCCTCCTCCTCCTCCTCCTCCTCCTCCTCCTCCTCCTCCTCCTCCTCCTCCTCCTCCTCCTACTCCTCCTCCTCCTCCTCCTCCTCCTCCTCCTCCTCCTCCTCCTCCTCCTCCTCCCTCCCTCATCCTCCTCCTCCTCATCCTCCTCCTCCTCCTCCTCCCCTCCTCCTCCTCCTCCTGCTCATCCTCCCCCGCCTCCTTCTCCTCCTCCTCCTCCTCCTCCTCCTCCTCCTCCTCCTCCTCCTCCCCCTCCTCCTTCGCCCTGCACCGCGGTGGCGGACACGAGCGGCAGCGCAGGCCAGCACCCAGACGCCACCCTTCTCTGCGGGCTGGCAGCAGCAGGGCGGCTCGGCGGCGACGGCAGGAAAGGCCATGGCCCGAGAGAGGGGGGGACAGTACATGGACAATATATTCGAACCCAATGCAAGCTTGGAGGAATACTGACCCCCCACCCCTCCCCATATCAATGTTGAACTCGGTATGGGTGGTGATGTGGGGGTTCGAGTAGTTTTGTCCACTCAAGCCCCCTTGCTTGCCACACCCTCCAATATGAAGTTGGGGGTCCGGGGGGGGGGGGCATCATGAGCAGCAGGGTTCGGATATTTCGTCCATGTACGGGAGCGGTGCACTTTGCAGTCGAGCTACCATTAGGTCGGGCATGTCCTCCTACAGGCGGACTGTGCAAGGAAAAAATCAAACAATACTCACAAATAGTCAACACCAGTAAACCAAAAATAGTCCCCAATCTATGCTTTTACGATGTTTGCATCTCCCTCCTGTCGAAGGACACGCCCGACGTAGAGCTGCCACCGCAAGGCACGCGAGACGGGGGACGAAGCCCCTTTCTGAGGGGCCCCGAGTGGGCGCCCGGGAGCACGCTCGGTGGGGCCGATGAACCTAAGGAACCCTACAGAAGGAACGAGGCTTAGGTCGCGCATGTCCTCCAGCAGGCAGGTTGTGGAGGAAAAATAAAACATGGTCGGGGAAATGCCACTGAAAACACCCAGAACGAATCAAAAGATCGTCCCCGGACTATTTGGGCTTACCGTGTTTTAATGTTCCTCCTGTAGAGGGACATGCCCGACTAAAAACGAGGTCCCAATCTTCCATAAGTTGTGAACTTCGATCTCCCATCGGATACCTCAGGAAAACCAAGGAGGCGAACTGTGCAACAGCTAAGGAAGACCGAGCCCCTCCCAAACGAAACGGGGTCCTTCTTCAGCGCCCCGACTGACTACCTACCAAACCACCCCAACCCAACCCGAAGACCCGAATTTCGGGTTGGGGGGGGTACGGGCTCCATATGCGTTTCCTCAACGTTCCCCGATCCCCCCCCCAACTGGAAATGGAGGGCAAATCGGGGCCTTCGGGTTGGGTTGGGGTGGTTTGGTGGGCGGCGCCCCGACTGCTATGCCAACGTCTCGGCTGCCTCCGGGGGCGCGGGTGGCCCATGCCTTGGGCGACGGTCTCCAGCGGATGCGGCGGAACCCGAGACGGAAGAGCACCCTCTGCAGAGCACGAGGCCCACCGCCGGCCGACCTGCAGCACACATTCGAGGGGGGCCCTCCCCCCAGCGCCCAGGAGAGCACCCCACAGGCACAAAGAACACATCAGGGTGACCTTTCGCTAGAGTCCTCCTCCTCCTCCTCCTCCTCCTGACCTTTGGCGCGGGTCCAATGGGGTCCCCCGATCGCCGAGGGCGATGTGGTCGTAGCGTCTTGCGCGCTCGTGTGTTGGTTCCCCCGCGGCCCCCCAGAAGCTGCGCTCCCAAGGTCACTCTCTGCCCGAACCGACCTTGATCTTACACCTCGGCCCCACCTTACGGTGCAGTGCCCGCCCCGGAGCTGTTCGACTGCACAGAAAAGAGTGACCCTGGGCAAGAGTGACCTTGGGAGCGCAGCTTTGGGGGAGCCGCGGGGGAACCAGACACACGAGCGCGCAAGACGCTACGACCACATCCCCTTCGGCGATCGGGGGACCCCATTGGACCCGCGCCAAAGGTCAGGAGGAGGAGGAGGAGGAGGAGGAGAATTGAGGAGGAGGAGGAGGAGGAGGAGAATTGAGGAGGAGGAGGAGGAGGAGGAGGAGGAGGAGGAGGAGGAGGAGGACTCTAGCGAAAGGTCGCTCTCACGTGCTTCGTCGAGCTGCTCGCCCCTGCCGCCGCCTCCGAGGCGGCGGGGCACGGGCGGGTGGCCGCCTCGCGCTCGGCGCCGGCGCTCGCCAGCAGCGGCACGGCGGCCACCATGGGGCGCCTGGCTCGGTGGGCACCAGTCTGCGACGGCACCGCGCGGGCTCGCTCTCGACCTTCCAAGGACCGAGGACCCAGACCCCCTCGAGCCATGAACAAACACACGACGGAAGGGTGTTCTAAGGTTTCGGCCTCTGGGAGCCCTTACCGGCCCTCGGGACATTCAGAAAACGACTCGGGATGAAAAACCGGTCCTGGGGAATGGGTCGAGACTTCTGGGGGCCGACGTGGCAGAAAAGTCATGACGGCGGGGGTCTGGGGAGAGAGGCTTCTGGACGATTCTCTGTTTCCCGCACCTTGGACGGACCAAGAGGGCTCCAAGATGCCCTCAGGACGGCCCAAGAGAGCGCCGAGTCGTCCAGGCACCTCCTCCAGACTGCTGGAGAGGGGGAGGAGGAGGCTCAAGGATGAGGCGCGACAACCACGCTGCCGATCTACTCGTCACTCTGCTCAGCGCGGGGTCCAGAAATGGGGCATGGAGTCATACGAATCAGCCCGACAAGCGCATCGTTCTTGAACTGTCTGCTTTCTGGGATCTAGAAGCCCTTCTGAGGACTCTGCAGACCTCTAGACGCCTCTGGGGCCCTCACCTGGAGATTCAGGCGCCGCAACTTACTCATACTGGCCGTTGTCGCCAGTTTTCGGGTCCAGGGGCATTCACGGATGGGCCCCGCTGAGGACATGCCGCAAAAGATAGGATCGAGGGCTGGGGGTTGTGAATTCCCATGGCGCTGTAATTTTCGCGACGTCGGGTTTCGGGGTAAAGGCCGAGGAGGAAGGTTTTTTCCTTCTCGATCATTTTGGATTGTGGGATCTCTTTTGGGCTGTCAGGGCCCCTTTCGGGGCGCTTGGGCGTCTTGTTGGAAGTCTGGTCGAGCGTGGACTTCGGGCGGACTGATGCTGTTCAGGCTGGTGTTTTCTTCAGTTGTGGCCTCGGGGGGGACTTCTTCGGGCCCAGGGTAATCATTATTGATCTGGGGCCGCAAGAATAATCTTAGGTCGGGCATGTCCCCCTATTGGCGAACGTTCGAAGAAACTTAAACATAGCTTTATATATATATATATATATAGAACTGGCATTTCAAAACAAATCCAACATGAGTAGTAAATCGTCCCCATACTACGAAAAGTGTCGAAAAGTGTCGAAACAATGTCGAAGCAGTATCGAAACAGTGTCGAGCGAGTGTCTCCCAGGGCCCGACACGTGAAAACCCTCGAGTTTCGGTACTTTCGTGGTGCTCGAAACTCTTTCTGGTGGGCCAGGCTACAGTCGGTTGGAACACCATAACTGTAGAGGGACATGCCCGACTTGAGAATAGTCCCCAGGGAACGGGTCGCCCCTTCTAGGGGAACAAAAAATCACATAAACAAAAAAACTCTGAGGTACGCGCGGATTTCTCGGATCCGCGCTGGACCCCCCTCCCGGGCGCGCGGAGCGCGCCAGTGGCGGCGCTGGAGGCGCCGCCAGGGGGGTCCAGCGCGGATCCGAGAAATCCGCGCGGATCTCCGAGTTTCTATGTTTGTGTCACTTTTTGTTCCCCTACAGTCCACAGGGAACGGGTCGACCCTTCACACCTCGAGAGGCTCGAGGACGGCCGCCGCGTGTGTCCTGCCGCCTGCGCGGATCGGCTCGCCTCGACCCGCGATCGATCGACGTGGCCCGCTCCGTCGACCGAACCGACTGGCTCAAGCCGACCGTGTGAAGATCGCTCGACTCGCTCGACCTTCGCTCGACTCGCTCGACTCGCTCGACCTTCCGCTCGACCTTCCGTCCCCTCCCCTCCCCCCACACTCAAAGTTGTTCCCAGACGTTCAAGAGCGCAGGCTTGAAAGCACAGAAGAAGTGGAACCCCCGGGGTCTCCACCACGCCGGAGCCCAACTTCGAGTCGGGGGGAAGGGGGGGGGGGGATGAACATGGTGTCGACGACGAGGGAGTTATACTTTTTTGTGTCCCCTTACCGTCCCCTGCAATGAAGGGAGAATGGCTGTGAGAGAGACGCCCTCGGAGCCCTCCCCAGAAGTGGCTGCTCGCCCCGCACAAGGCGAGGCCAGGAGAAAAAAAGCAGGAGGCCCTGGAATTCGAGGCCAGGAAAAGCCAGACGAGGCCTGGACATCGCGCCTCTAGAGCTCTGAAGATCAAGAGGCTCTGGAGGCTGTAGACGAGGTGACCCGCGGCCTCTCCCGAGCGCTGCGGGACGCTCCGAGACAAGCGCTCCGGCGCACGCTGGGCCGACGCATCCCGGCCCCCGCCCCGCCCAGCTGCAGCCGCTGAACTGACAGCCCCGCGGCCCAGGAGGCCGAAAGCCGTCAGGCCCTGGGGGCCCAGGGCCCTCTCCTGATCACCGACTCCGGGTGAGATACGGTCGGACTTCATTGGACAGGACACGCGAGAGGACACGAGACCCTCCCGGGGGCCACATTGCCATAGGAATGCAGGAGGCACGTGTCGCGAGGCACAAGACACAAAGAAACCCTTGACTTGGCAGGGCCGACCTACTAATCCGGGCCGACTGTATTCATCGAGGGGCGCGCGACAAACCTTTCGACGGAGCTTGCCCATCCCCCCCCCCCTCCTCCACCTCCACCTCCTCCCCCTCCTCCTTCTCCTCCTCCTTCTCCTCCTCCTCCTCCTCCTCCTCCTCCTCCTCCTCCTCCTCCTCCTCCTCCACCCCCCCCTCCACCCGTTCCGACAGCAGGTGCCCAACCCCCCCAGCGGATCCAAGGTAGGGGCGATTATTGCCCCATCCAGAGTACGAGACCATCACATGCAAAACCCCGAAGACCGAACTCTCGGGCCCATGGGGTAGGGCGGAGCGGGTTCCACATGTGTGTTTCTTCCATGCGTCCCGACGCCTCCCCGATGGGGATGGAGGGCAGCTTGGGGTCTTCGGGTTGGGTTGGGGTGGCTTGTGGGGAGACCAAAAGGTACAGATACCACTACTCCCAGGACCTCTCCCGGGGCGCGTTCTGACCAGGATTTCGAGGCGAATCCAACGGTGGCGACGAGGAGGGCCTCCCAGGAGGCCGAACAAAAAGGGAAAACGGGCGAAGGATGGCGGTATCGGTGCCTTTGCCTCCTCTGAGCCTGGCGGGTGGTGATTTTTGGGTCCACGGAGAGCTCTGCAACACAGACCCCCCGATCGGAGGCGGCCAAGAGGGGGGCGTCCAAGAGGGGGGGGCGCAAATCATGGCCGGCGGCATGTGCGCGGCCCAAGGGGGGGGAACCAGCGTAATGAAAAAAGAAGGGGCGCCATGAAATCTGGGAAAATATCATGGCCCACGTCATGATGTCCACCCCTCTAGTCTTAGGTCGGGCATGTCCCCCTACATGCGGATTTTGAACGAAAGCCCCAAAAAATCCCCCCCACAAAGAAGAAGTACGAACAACAACAAAAACATCGTCCCATACTATTTTGGAGTATGATTGGAAATTCCTCCTGTAGAGAGACAGGCCCGACTTAACCCTAGTCACCCCCCCCCTCTTTGCCGCCCCACCCCCCGAGGCGGCGCCGCTCGTGCCGGGCGACGCGGCCGAAGCTCATGCGCTGGAACCTCGGTCGGAGCGGCTGGCGGGGCCGTGAAGGGCGCCCCGCCTTGCGGCCCAGGGGGGGAGGGGGGGGGAGCAACACAGTGCATGAGATGCAGGAGGAGGGGGAGGAGGAGGAGGAGGAGGAGGAGGAGGAGGAGGGAGGAGGAGGAGGAGGAGGAGGAGGAGGAGGAGGAGGGGGAGGGAGGAGGAAAGAGGAGGAGGAGGAGAAGGAGGAGGGGAGGTGGAGGGGGGAGGGAGGAGGAGGAGGAGGAGGAGGAGGAGGAGGAGGAGGAGGAGGGGGAGGAGGAGGAGGGGGAGGAGGAGGAGGAGGAGGACAAGGAGGAGGAGGGCGAGGAGGGCACCTCGTCTTCCTCCAGGGGAGGGAGGAGCATAGCGCATGAGAAGCAGGAGGAAAAGGAGGATCAGCAGGGGGAGCAGGAGAAGGAGAAGGTAGGAAGATGAGACAAATTATGATGATGATGAGGAGGAGGAGGAGGAAGTATGATATTGGTAAACGCACTTGGGGTGGTCAAGCCACAGTCTCTCTCTCTCTCTCTCTCTCTCCTCCCTCTCTCTATTCCTTTCTCTCTCTCTCTCTTTCTCTCTCTCTCTCTGGCACTCTCATTGTCTCCCTCTCTCTCTCACTTTATCGTTATCTGTGTTGTCCC